TTAAAACAATGAATTACTCAGCTGAAGAAGAAGAAGAAGAAGAAGAGGAACCTACCACGCCCACAGCATCATCTTCTTCACGACCACCACGGCGTCGGGTTAGCTCCCGACCGCGCAACCCTACGAATCGATACACTCCTAGTTAGTTGTATTGTATTCCGGGAATTTTGTGGACATATATATTAATTTTTTTCTTTCTTGGTGGATTATGTGTAATGATATTTGGACATATTTGGATTTTTATATTTGGACAATGAATTATTGTGCTTCATTTTTCTTTCTTTGACGAATGGATTGATATGAGCTCGTATAATTAATATTTGGTTGTGGAATCAATCTCGATTAACAGGTGTGTTTTTGTAATTTTTCTGTAATTTTTGCTGTTTGTGCACAGTAAAACGTATTTTTATAATATGTTTTTGTTTTTTTTTATTGAAAAACGTATTTCAAGAATACGTTTTAGTGTGCAAATTAGGGCACAATCACTTTGGGGCTAAAATTAGGGCAAAATCAAATTTGGGGCTAAAATTAGGGTTAAAAAACGTATTTTTAAAATACGTTTTATATTTTTAATTATTATTTTCTGGGAAAATTGGTTTTTAAAATTGTAAATATGAAGTTTATTTATAAAACGTATTATTGGAATAATTTTTATAATTAAAAAATAAATATATAAATTTTTAATTGTAAAACGTATTCTATTAATACGTTTTTTTTTAACTTAAAACATATTTAAATAATACGTTTTACCATATTTTAATTAACGTAATTATGTTTATTATTTTAATTAATATTTTTTTACAAAAACGAATTCATTAAATACGTTTTAAATGTAAAAACGTATTCTTTGAATACGTTTAACGTTGAAAAACGGATTTATGGAATACGGCCTTTTGATTTTTTTCCACTCTTTTTTTTTTGTCCACCTTTTTTTTATTTTTAAATAAATAAAAAATTCTTGCTATTTAGTGTATACTTGGAAATTTGGAATATAAAGTCCTACTTGTGGATACCTCTCACATATATCATCAAGCACTTCTTTGTTTATGGAATTTTTCAAAAAATTTCCAATATTTTAACTCAACCATTTATTTTAACTCAATTTTAACTCAACCCCACTATCATTAAAATTATTAATATAATTAAATAATATCAATCAATCATTCATACACTCCACATCAACCTTAATTCACTATTCATTCACTCACATTATTTTAACTAACCATCACTTCAAATTTCTCTCTCCTACTTTTACATCAAATCAATTTTAATTATTTTATTTTAAATATTATTTTAATATACCCACTAACAACTAACCATACCACATTTTTCAAAATTAACCAAACCAAATCAAAAAATTCAAACAAAACCAAAAATTTTTATAAACAAACATGCTCAGTGTCCCGAAGCTGTCCTTATCGGCTTTATTGAATATAGCACATATATCTTCCGGCATATGTAAAACGGTGGCAAAATAATTTGATTACTTTTCCAATGACTCATATCACAGTTTGGTTGGGGCAAAGCTTCAAATCAGTGACATAATTTGATTGTTTTTCCAATGAGTAAGTAAAGTTAATGTGTGGTTAAAAAAACATTAGCAGCTTTAGGATCAAAATTATAAAGTCAAAATAAGAAAACAGACTCGCAATATCTAAGAGCATCTGCCCTAATAAAGAATAAATAAATAGACACTGCAATAAATTGTAATCGGGTTTCAACAATCCTACTCAAAAATCAAATCTTTACTGATCTCACAAACACAAATTCCCAAATAATCAAGAAACCGTTACAAATCTTACCTCAAAAAGTTGTGGGCTTTAGTTAACGCACATAAAAGAACTGATTTCATAAATCGGTCGGATGTTTCATGAAGAGCACCTTGTATTTGTATCTCGTATTCTGATCGGCCGGAAGTTTCATGAAAAGCAAATCGGAAAATATTTTTCTTTTTTATTAGGTACTGCGTCTCGTAAGAATGTCGCTTTGTGAAGGATTCAGAATTTGTTTGGGGCAGATAATTCGAAATGTTTTTGGGAATGCCATTCTTGTTTGTTAGGATTGGTGCCTACCTTATGATTAATATTAAATTACAAAATTAATTTTATAAAGTAAAGTTAATTTAGACATATCATATAAATTAATTTTATAAAATAAGGTTAATTTAAGCATATCATATTTTTACATATTCATTGACTCTTTTATAATAGTATAGATATAGATATAAATAGATAGATAAATAAATTATTTAATGAACATTTTTAATTTATACATATCAATAAATATTTCTTATACGTGCATCATACGAAATTTGTACTAATTATAGCACAATACACCAAAATCAAGCCTTTACATTCAATTTTCCCCACTCAAACCGGTTTTATATATATTAGAAAAATGTGATTGTTATCCATTAGACAATAATATATCATCATTACGGATTACTATTGTGGCAGCTTCCGATTCGTCGCCCCTCAGAGCTTCCAGCTCCAATTTGGAAAGACCAAAATTGATGTCCCTTCCAAGTTCCAAATCCCCACCATTCTATGCCCACTTTTTATATAGTGCCTTCAATTATAAATAGCATAAGCAACTCCCATTTTGGCACTACTTTTGCCCACTTTTCAGTTTTCATACAGTCCCTTCGCTTATAAATAGCCTAAGCAACCCCTATTTTGGTACTAGCAAAAGCAATTATTTCCCCTCAACTTCCTTTTTTATACTATTAATTAATCAAGACCATAATAATGGCTGCCATTTCCCTGAAACAAAACCTCAGCCCTCGGATCACCCCTGAAGAACCCCAACAACGAACCATATCCGTTGAAATCCCAGGCCTCATCCGGGTCTTCAAGGACGGACACGTGGAGCGGCCCCACCTCGTGCCATGTGTCCCACCCTCATTGGCCCCCGAGCTTGGAGTCACGTGCGGTGACGCGACCGTTGACCAGTCCACCTCCGTCTGGGCCCGCATCTACCTCCCGAGACCGGCCCCCCAATTGCTCCCTCTCCTCGTCTACTTCCACGGTGGCGGCTTCTGCGTGGGCTCCGCCTCCTGGGCCTGCTACCACCAGTTTCTCGGCCAGCTGGCCTCCGCCGCAAACTGCGTGGTCGTGTCGGTGGACTACCGCCTGGCGCCGGAAAATCCGCTCCCGGCGGCCTACGACGACGGCGCGGCGGCGGTGGGCTGGGTCCGGCGGCAGGCGGAGGAGGAGGGCTCCGGCTGGTGGGCCAGCCGGTGCGACTTCAAGAGGATCTTCCTGGGCGGGGACAGCGCCGGCGGGAACATAGCCTGCCACGTGGCGCTGCGGCAGAGGCCGGAGGAGGTCAGGGGGCTTATTCTGATACAGCCTTTCTTCGGCGGGGAGGAGCGGACCGGCTCGGAGAGGCAGGCCTCGGCGGGGTCCGCCCTGACGCTAGCGGCGGCCGACGCGTACTGGCGGATGGCGCTGCCGGAGGGGGCCAACCGGGACCACCCGTGGTGCAACCCGGCGGCGCCGGATGTGGATGTGTTGGTGTGCGTTTCGGGGATGGATATTTTGAGGGATAGGAATTTGGAGTTTTGCGGGCGGAGGGTTGAGCGCGTGGTGTATGAGGGCGTGGGCCACGCGTTTCAGATTTTGGACCGCTCGCCTTTGGCTCAAATCCGAGCTCGTCAGATGATTTGTCGTATTAAGGATTTTGTTGCTATGTGAATTGCGACCTAATGTTTATCTGTTAAGCTATATGTTATCGCGTGTGGGCAATATTGTGATGATTAGAATTAAGAAATTTAAATTCGACGAACCAACCCGAACATCGCAGTTCAGTATAAAAAGCTATCGAATATTATTTAATTCCTTGTCCTTTTTTTCTTAAGTAATTAAAGATGGTTATTAAGTTCTTTCTCACAAAAATTATATTGATATATATTAAATTCAAATAATGACAAAAACAATATAACAGTGTATATATATATACATTAAATGCAAACAAAATTAAAAAACTAAAATAAAATAACGGCTGCAAAATTTTAGTTTTTTTCGATAATAATAATTAATTTTGACACTTGACAGTAAAATTTATAATATTCCGATTCTAATTCATAAACAGCCAACCTTGTATGCATATATAGAATATAGATTTGTCCCATATTTACAAAGTTTTTATTTCTTTTTATCCATTTTATTCTAATTAATTTTCCAAAAGTGTCTTGTGCATGTGAGTATCGAAATGGCTTCCATAGACAAAAAAAGAATCGAATGAACTGGAGTTTTGATTATTATTTGATTAAAGAGACTCAAGAAGTGAGATTATTTGACTTTTGTTTATGATCTTTCCAACTTCACAAAATAATAGAGTGGAACACATGAGTGAGTTTTAAAGCACTACAGTACTATATTATTCTTTTTTAATGGTTAAGAGTGTTATCACTGCTCAAGTAGTTATATGGTGGAATTGGATGCATATTTAAACTCACTCATTCATCAACACTCAAAATTATATTATTTAAATATATCACTACGTAGTTCGCTATATTATTTTTTCTTCAAAAAAAACACGACGTAGTTTTATATTTTAGCGATTTTCTCAAAAAGTCTACGCAAAATGCTGAAATGCTATATTTTTTCAACAATATTTAAATAATAAGATATTTAAAAAACTTGTATCTGTAGGGACTAGAGTTTTATTTTTAAATGACTAAAAACTAAAAATTTTGATAATGATTTCATATTAAAAGTTTGAAAATGTAAATTCATAAGTTGAATAGTGCAATATATATCGGTCCATGTCTATTATATCATTATACTTTTTAGTATTTGACCTTTAAATTTAAGAATTAAAAGTTCAAATCTAGTAGTTAGAATTAAATTGTTATTAAATTAAAAAAATAATTACAATGTATATGCTTAAAACTATTATAAGTCCCGTGATTGCACGGGTAAGAGATATTAGTTAATATTTAAAAATTAAAAATTCTAATTGAATAGTGTTTATAAATTAAAAATATGGAATCGATATATAATACAATTTACCTATATTAATCTACTGAAAATGTTATATAGAGTTTAAATTGCGCAAAATTACATAAAAATGTCTATTTAAAATTAGTACACAACCCGTGCGGTGCACATAACTGCTAATAAATTACATTATATTCGTTTCAAAATAAGTGTCATTGTAAAATTTTTATTCAGAAATTCGATTTGACTATCCATAAAATAGTTATTTTGGTAAAATTTTCTCATGTATTTAACAGCCTATGTGAATAATAAGTATAAATATAAAATTTATATTGTTTCATTACTTAATAATTTATATTTGTATAAATTATTCAAGTAAAAAAAATTAAGTAGTTGAGAAATTTATTAAACTATAGATAATTGACTATTTCGTTTACGTCCAAGTTAATATTGACCCGTAAGTTAAGAATAATTATTTTTTTGATTTTTAATTTTAAATAAAAACTTTTTATTTTTACTTTTTGATATATTATAAACCAAATTTAAACCATGCAACTAATAAAGATAATAGGTGCAAGTTTGTCAATATATTATATTTCAAATTTAAATCATGCAACTAATAAAGGTAATAGCCACAACATTTGATCAAAACGATTATGTACATTAGTTTAGGCGAGATTTTTCAAATGTTAGCCAAAAAAATTACCCAATTTAGTAAATCTGAATTTTTAGGCGGGAAACCAAATATTTTTTAACTGATTTTTAGTTACTATTTCAAGTAAATATCATTGCCTCTTTATATATTAATAGATTAAATTATGACTTATCTTATTATATTTTTGTTGTTTATTTTTACTTTTTAGTATATTCGCTTTGTTATTTAAATTTAATTTTTAAATATTATTTAAAGAGCATTTTTAATTTGTAAATAATAATGAACATCTCTTACCCGTGCATCGCACGAGATTCGTACCAATTAATATATAATACTAGGGTAGAGTTGACATAAATAGGTTTGTCTCTAACCGATGGCTATATTTACTCAAAATAAATAATCTATTTCTGTTCTCATGGTTGTAAATTATTTTTAATGTTAAAAATTAATTTTTATTAGACATATTATTTAAACATGTTTAATTATTTTTGTGAAAAATTAATTTTCATTATACATATTATTTAAACATTAGAATCCAGAATGAGGATATTCGAGATAGGGTCGGGGTGTCTCCAATTGAGGAGAACTTGGTTCAACATCGGCTGAGGTAGTTCGGACATGTCCAACGGAGGCCTCCTGATGCACCGGTGCGTAGGGGAGTTCTACAGTGGGTCGATGATGTAAAGAGAGGTAGAGGTCGGCCTAAACTCACTTGGGAAGAGTCGGTTAACAGAGACCTTAAAGATTGAAATATCTCCAAGGATTTATCGGTGGATAAGAGCGCTTGGAGGCTAGCAATCAACGTACCAGAACCGTGACTTTTGCTCCTTTCTCTTTTGCTCCAATCTCTCCTTTTGTTTTGAGCCCTTTTTGTGTTTCTCTTACCATTGGTTCTCTTGGGTTTAATCTCTAGCCTACCCCAACTTGTTTGGGACTAAAAGGCTATGTTGTTGTTGTTGTATATTAATAACAAAACTATGTAGAATAGTTTTATTTTTAAATTTATTTAATATACATAGTGAATTAATTAAATTCTTAATATATGAGTAAATTACAAATACATAAATTATAGTTAATAAATCGAAATATTAATTTTATTTGTGTACATTATAGAACAAAAACAGTTCAAGATAAATAAAATAAAATTATTTATTTTGCTAAATAATTTTAAATTTTGATTTTGTAGTTGTACTTAAGTTTTATTTTATACTAATACATTTCATGTTGAGTAGTGTAGCGCAAAAAACTAGTAACGAAAGTTAAATTTTGACATCTTCTACTCTATAATAGAGTAAATTCTACACAACAGTAGGTCGAGATGTCTAAAAAAACTGAGCGCATAAAGAAAAGAAACCTTAAAGTTACCATTGAGCTTCTTCAGAAGCTCTCGTCTGCTGTTTACAATCAAGAAATACAACACTAGTAAGTAATAAGCACATGGACTAAGCCAGGGTTGTAAAAACTAAAGCAACATAAAAATGAGAATCCAAATAGTATATAAGATGTGAAAAAAACCTTTCGGGTCCAAACAAATCAACCACTCAAAACCACTAACGGAAGGACATGTGAATAGAAACAGACTTCACTGCTAACCAGACGTGTGAACTTATCTAGCTTGACATCATGACTTGATCGATCGACTGAAGAGCCTGATTGGCGAAAAAACGGACATCAACATCAGGATCCTCTGCAAGCTCTACCAAACTGGGCCGAATGTTGTTCTCAACAACCTAGGAACAAACAAAAGTTTTCACAGTAAGAAAATCGGTATAGGGATATCAGCAATATACTGTAACTTTTGAAGTTGTCATTTTAACACTTCAACGATTTTGCTCCCCTCTGCAACCTTCTTTTTCAAATAAACAAAAGAAAAAAAAAATGGCTACACGAGAGAATTTTAAAAATAAGTGAATAATGGAAACAACACTCCTGAACTGAATTCACAACACCTTAAAACTCATTGAACCGGAATTATACAAATAAAAAAAATTTATGGGGTCTGAATTAGAAGACAAGAACATTCGGAACTAAAACACAAAAGTCGCAGTACGAATATTGCAACACGACTCAAATAGCTGAGGGACCAATCACATTTTTCCATTACAAAGAACCTTTCAGGTTCAGCTTAGTTAAAACGTTCATTTCTTAATGCAAATAACGGCGAAAAGTCTGAACATTAATGAATACTTCACTCAGAATGGAGACAAATATGGAGGGTATTTCTAATTTTAAAAGAACGATATAATTTTATGGTAATCAACCATAGAGTTACGTTTGTCATTTTATCTATATACGCACAAGAATGAGGTGATGGAGAAAGTTGACTTACGGAGTGATCAACGATGGGGATCATGGATTGCAATACCTTAGCCACATTAAATTTGATGTTCGGCACCCTAAAAAAACACGATCTCATTTCAGCTTACAAGAGTCGTTTTAGTGCGATAATGGGATTAAAATCCTTGGAACAAGGTGAAATAGCAACTACCTATCCTTTGTTGCTGTTATGATAACAGGCAATAATTTAGAGCAGGTTATCTCGGAACCCATCACAGGAGCCAGTAGTGATATTGCTTGAAGAACAGTCATCCGGTACAAATAATGCGGACTGTTCACCATGTCCAGAACCTGCAAGTGGGAATAATGCCAAAACCTCATATACATAATGTTGAAACTGGGAAGTAAAATGTAATTAGCGTAACTAAGCTCAGCAACAAATAAGCTATTAAAGTATATAGAAAATTCAATAGGTCATAGCCTCATTTGTCCTTCACAAACCTGGGGAATTATGTGCTGCATTGCCCATTCCGGACCAAATTCTTCTGCCAAACGCTTCAAATTATTAGCTGCAGCTTCCCGGATAGAGTAAACCTGCATCCAATCCAAAAATTAAAAAAAACACAAAAAAACAAAAAAATCGTTTTAATGTGCATGAGAAAATAATTATGCATAAAATATGGGTAAATATTAAAGGACATCTTCCAATATCGCAAAATTACAAAAAGGGAAAATAAGAACAGATAAGGCAATAAATAAAATAATTACCCTTTGAAAATTACAGATAAACTCTTAAATTTATTCCATTTTCAAAAATTGGAAATACTGAAGACAGGACATTAATGATCATGAGATTGTCTTACAATTTATGCAAAAAATGGGAAAAGTTAACCAATTACCCTACAATAAAATTACAAGAGAAACACCGACCTTGTCCTGTAGCCACTGCATGCAAAGTGCACCCAGCTTATCATCGAAAAATCCCATGCCCAACTGACTAGCCAATAAAGGAATATACTCTATGATGGCGAGCCGAACCCTCCAGTGCCTATCCTCTGCAAGCTCAACAATGGCTGGTAATAAAGATTGGGAGAGTAAATCAATACCAATAACCTGCATAAAAGGAGACAGAATATTAGTTAAGGAATATACCAAACAATGGCACATTGGATGGGAAATCATATACCTGGTTGACTTGATCTAGCTTGCTAATAATATTGAGGCGGACGTCGGGAAATTCGTCTTTCAAGAGGGAGAGGAATATAGGAAGAAGTTGTTCGATTGTAGCATCCTGCATCCAAACCAGAAAATCTAATGGTAAAGGTTCATGCCCTATCATGCGCGCAAGTAAATTAAAGATTTCTATTCGGTAGTGCCGAGAAGAAAAACATGTCACGAGAAGACAAGATAATAATAGGGAGACTATTCAGTTCAAAACCACAGCAACATTTTTGTACGTTTTGTGTGTGAGTGTGTGTAATTTGGAAAGATTCCTAGTCGGGTTAACTACAAAAACAAACCCCTGAGGATTAACCTAACCAAGAAAAAGAAAACACTTGCATTTCAAAATGACGAACGCTCCCAGGCAGTTTGTTTTGTCCTTTACGATTGCAACATCAAGAGGAAGTAATTTGTTTCAAAGAAACTCAAAGTGTGGATTTAAAACCCTTTGAAGGGGTGATTTATATTTATAATTTTGAAAGATAATAGAAATTCTTGTTATTAGACTTGACTTCGAGTTGTTTTTGTTGATATCCAATTTAAACAGAGGCAAAACAAATATTCTGCCGTCCCAGCCATTTATCAAGAAAGTGACTCTCGCACTCATATGATGTGGACTTTTTGGTACCTTTCCTAAGACAGGAGCCATTCCCATGATTACAGATGCCAAAGCAGACCTCACATGTTGTGAAGAATCAGATGAAAGCTCCTGTAACCACAAATTTACCATCTCACATGTAAGATAATCATAGGAAAAGGGAAAAAGAGTACAGGCAATATATTCATTATTCAGTAACTAATAAATCCAGCAAGGTCTTTTACCTTTACGCAAGGAAGAATATGCTGAATAGCAAGTTCAGGATTAAGAATCCGACAAAATTTTGTAACTTTTCCAGCAGCTGCTATTCTCACTTCTGCTTCATTATCTCGGAGTAGGCGCACATATGCAGGAACCAAATCGGTCCTTGAAACACAAAAATCATATCAAATGACAAATTTCGTATGAAGAAACAATGAATTTCATGGACAAAGAAAAATAGAAACTAATCAAAAAACACAACCACCTCGTAGGTTCAGGTCCGACAGCCTCACAAAGCTCATACAGCTGATTTGCAACCATGTAGCGTACACGCCAAGACTTATCCTGATGTGTAGAATAACATCACAAAGGGAGGGGAAATATCAAAAGCAAATTAAGAATCAGTAACGACCACTTATCAGAAGAAATAAGTCTTTCATATCCCTAGAGAGAGTGAGACAGAGAGATTAACTACTTGGGATACTCAGTTAGATATGAGACAAATAAGCACATTAGTACAAGGAAAGATGATGATCACACAGTTTTGAATACACAGTTAAACTAAATAGTAATAATAAAGAAAGAAATGCAAAAAGAATGACTGATTAGATATAATAACTAGAAATAGATTCTGATAGAGGAACATTGATAAATAAGAAAACTGGCCACAAATAAACAATGATGTCATAGCAGACATAGTAATAATAACTAAGACAAGTCATGTAGTTAGATAACTGAAATGTACCTGCGAGAAGTTGACAATTACAGGGAGGATATGGGCAACACAATCTTCAGGCTCCAACAACTTTCCAAGAGCAGCACAGCCCTCAACAGCTAGCAACCGCACAGAATCTTGATCTGAAAAGACGCATTTAGAAAATTATCTTTAGACAACTGCTTCAGTAGTTGAATAACTAAAAAGCATCAGCGACTGCAGATTATTTGTTCATTGATTACTTCCAATTTTTTAAGATATTTATTTCCTTATTGAATTGCTTCACTAATTTTATCTAACACAAATAACAAATAGATCACTTTTTTGTTTCCAATTGCTATGCAAGTTTGTTTTTATATTTCTTTAGCAGAATAATGAAGAAGAACAAAGACAAAATTCACACACAGAAAAATATATAGATTATCCTACAAACTCAAAGGATAAATCAAATGCGAAGCAGCAAGGCTGTGATTTGTGAGACATTTTCATTAGAAGGAACAGGAAAATTCTTGGTTAGTGTTACAGTTCAGAGACAATAAAATTAACAAAAAGAAAATGTCAAAGAAGAACTTGGTCCCTAAAAAACAAGGCTAAAGGAAGAATGCGACAGTTTACAGTTCTTATTTAAAATTGACTGGCCAACAGAGTAACTTTTTATCCTAATAACTCAAAAGATATACACATATTCTGTGATAGATAATGACAGCATAGTGTAACTGGATCTTGAAATTCAACTTGAGACATCTTCAAGACTAAAAGAAACGGATTACTGAGTCATAACAACTACTACTCGTATCTTGCCAAAGCCAATGAAAGAAAAAGGAAAAAGGGAAAAAAGAAAGAAAATGGGACTCGAACTTTAGCATACCATCCTGGGTAAGTTCCTCGAACATAGACATAATATCGGTCTTCAGATATGCAGCTTCCACAGTAGCAGCAAATTTTCCCAAATTAGTTGCAGAAGCCCTTCTCACCATTGGCATATCATCTTGACACAGCTGATTGTATATCGCCCTTAACTCTGTCTTCAATGCATCTGGAGCACTAGGGTAGGCAATATGAAATAATCCACAAGCTGACACACGGGCTGTAAACCACTCTCCAGCTGCCAGCCTCTGTATATTAAGATGAATTAACTCAATCAGAATTTATATATAAAATTCTATTATAGAAAATTAGGAATTCCAAATTGTGTGAGAGCAAATGAGTGATTGTGTACATACTTACGGAGGGGAAAAATGCAAAAATCTTCCTTTTTTTCGAGAGGAAACAATTAGAACTTACATTCTAAAAGCAATCACAAGAAATAGTATTAACCAAATGCTAGATTTGAAGAAGGTAAAATGAATTGGTCTATGCATTTTACTTGAGGGTATAGCTCAAGCCTCACGGAATAGGTGAGACTTCAATGACAACTTAGCGTAATAGCAAAACGTGCACATAATGCGTGGGGGCCTAAGAAATCAGTAACCTATAAGAAAAATTAAAAAGTGAGTTTTTAAGAGACCTTCACAAGAGGAACGAACCAGTCAACCAAATCACCCTCCCTCATCTGTGAACCAATTCTACACAAAGACTCTACAGCCTTTTCCCTCACACAAGTCTCCTCCACAGTACACAGTGTTTCCAGAGGAGGTAGTAAAACATGTGCATACTCGACTCCTCCAACATACGGAATAAAAACACCCAATTCCTCAGCCATAGCAAGCAAAACTTCATCATCATCATCATTGTTCTCACTTAAAAATGGGATTAACTCCTTCCGGGTCCTATCCTCACCAAGTGCTCGTGCAATGGTAGATAGTCTACGTATGGAGTTCAAACGGAGCTGAATGTCATCGTTCTTCAACTCGTCAATTAGTACAGCTATCGGATACAGTGGCTCGTCCACCATCGACATTTTTCCGCAAAAAAATGATCAGCTGCAAGCTTCATTAAATATTCAGAAACAGAATAATATAGTAAGGTTAACCCAAATATGAATTTTGATTCACAAAATGGAAGGGAGAAATCACATTGCTACTAAAAGTTGGACATATATTCTGCTAACAAACCAGATCTATAGGAACTACAAGCTCAAAAACAATATGATTTTCTCTGAAAGAATTTCGAAAGGTCAGATAATAAGAAGGAAATAAAAATTTTAAGATTCATATATCCAAATGTGAAAGCTTCCAGAAAATTAAGTTCGCCTTATACCAGCGGTTATTGACAGAATTCAAGAACCAAACAGGCAGAGCAGCGTGTACACGTTCTAAAAAAAATGCAATTAGGTCATTTATCAGGAAATCAGTTTAACCCAAACGTACAAACGAGAACCAAATCATATTCGCTACTTCGAAATAGAAAATTGAGTGTTGTCACGGAAAAAGGAATTACCTAACAAAATCGAGCTCAAATGAAACAGAAAATCAAAATCAAGAAGCAAATCCCAAGATCTGGGCGACAGTCCAAAATTTAAATCCAGAAGAAATTAAACAAACAAACTCAGCACGCCTAGATGCATACGTTATAGTCTGCATAGAAACGTAGATAAAGAACGACTATAGAATTACCGGAGGCAGTTCAGCCGGGTTCTCCGAGTCGAAGGCTTGTTTGAGAGAGATATATTTGTGTTAGTGTCATTGGACGTGTTGGTATTCAAGTGTAATTTGTTACCAAAAATAAAATAGTAAAATAATAATTATCCATACATTTATAAACTAACATAGGTGTTCGGGAGAAAGGATCATTTGAGAATGACTCTTAATGCAAAAAATGAGAATGAGTTTAGATCATTGGATCCAACATATCAATGGTCTTGATCAAGTCAAAATTGGTCAATCGTTAATGGCAATAGGGTAAATTAACATATCATTCTGGTCAAATATACATATTTGACTACTCAATAGGGACAATCCGATCATTACACACTCACAAATCAGTTTAAACACACACGCACACACACAATACACACACGTACACACTCAGCGCACACACACACACGCACAGAAGCCCAGCCCGCCGAAGACTGTCGCCGCGCCTCCGCCGACTTCAGCCATACCTCCGTCGGCCTTCACCGACCTCTGCCATACCTCCGTCGGCATCCGCCATATCTCCGGCGTGCCTCCACCGTTTCTCACTGCCCGCCAAAGACTGTCGAGATTCAGGAGATTGCTCCGGTAGTGCCTCCGCCGTGCATCTGAGCGTACCTCCGCCGTGCGTGCCTCTGACATGTCCCCCATTCGGGACTTCATAGTGGTTGCGGCCCCCGGCATCGCCCTTCGCAGCCGACCTGACTCTGAATGGGTGGCGCTCTGCCGCCCTGCAAAGCCGACGTCCATCGTCGCTGCTCCCGTCTCCTTCTCAGCAAGAAGCTCCGACGAGGAGCCATACGAGGTGGAGGCTCAGGCTGACTCGCGGTTCACGTTGCGGCGATTGGGGTGGGATGATTGCGATTGACGGCTGGGTGTTGATAGAGGAGAAATTGGGGTTGAGATCTGGCGAATTTGGGGCTGAGATGGAGTAGAAGATGGTGTTTCATTGTTTTGTTGTGGGTTCATTTTTTGGGAATTAGATATATTTATGGGACTATTTTGCAATTGTTTGAACTTTTAATATATGTATATTTTATTACTTAAGGGTAGTTTATTATTTAATAAAGATCAATTTATGAACAACAATTGCACATTAGATGTACAATATTGTGTCTAGATGTGCACTTTAAAAAATAATGTCATGTGTACAAAATTATTAAAAATATGAAAAATACGCAAATTTTTTCGCTAAGTGATTTTTCACAATATTTGTATATAGATACGCGCTTTAAAAGTAGAACGCACAATCAAAACGAAAAATAAAATTTCGGATTGGAAAACTTTGACATAATCGGTTTCATTTTGTTGGTTAACACAAATAACTAAAATAACCAAAATAAATTATATTATTTATTCTAAAAACATGTCAAATCATTAATATTTTTCACTTAATATTATGTGTTATATTTTTTATTAAAAAAATAGTGTATATGTAAACGACATATAATGTGCAATATATCAGTTATTAATGTGCAATTCGTCCAACACTACGGTGCATTGTGTCGGTCTACAGATTGAACCGACCAATCTGTTGTTCTAAACCAAATTAAAAATGAGCACATTTAATTTGTTTATTCAGTTCGGTTAACAGAATTATCCAAAATAATCGAAACATTTTTTTTATTATTATTTTTTTGTTTGTACATTATATTCAATATTTAAATAATTTTATTTATTATTTCTATATTATTTTTGGTTGAACAAAAGTTGGCTTTGTTCGGGTTTGATCTATTTTGTGCAATCTGATAGTCATGATATTGTGCAGCGCGTTGTTCTGTAAAGTGCAACGTGTTGGTTTATAAAGTGCAGCGTGCTGATGTATAAAGTGAACTACTGTGATTTTGATACGTTAACATGTTTGTGTTTTGTGTGGATAAATGATGTGTTTAACGTTAAAGTATTATGTATATCCATTTTTTTATATTTATGTTGCATGGTATTTTGTCGGGAGTAATTGACGTTAATTGTGGAGCGTGGTGATAATGTGCAACGTATTGTTTTATAAATTGCAATATGTTTGATATATAAGGTGCATTATTCTATATGATCACATATAAATTATGTGTTTTTTGAAAACTATATTTAGTAGATAAAAAATTTGTTATTTGTATTATAGAAAGAAAAAGTATATTTATTATTTCAATATTTTTTGTTTATTATTTAAATTTATTTTATATAATATATTAATTTTATTATTTTTAATTATAAATATTGATGCAACATCTTGTTTTATAAAGGTGCGACATGTTATTTTATAAAAGTACACAGTGTTATTTTATAGAATGCAACGTATTGTTTTATAAAGTGCAAATTGTTGTTTTATAGAGTGCATTAATTTATACGATCACATGTAACTATGTGTCTTTCATTAATGTGCGATTCGTCTAACAATTTGGTGCACGGTGTCAGTATGTATTGTGCAAATTGAACCAACTGAACTTTTATCCCAATCAAATTGAAAATGAACATAATTAATTGGTTTATTTGGTTTGGTTAACCGAATTATTCTAACTTATCTAAATAATTTGTCAACTATATTAAAAATATTTCTAATATGTTAAGAATTTTATTTATTATTATTATATTATTTTTGGTCGAAAAAAATGGGTTTGGTTGGTTTCATTCCCTATTCATGCGATCTTATAGTCGTGATAAAGTGCAGGGTTTTATTTTATAAAGTGCAATGAATTGTTTTACAAAGTGCAACATGTTGATGTATAAAGTGCACTTGTACTGAGTTTTGACCGGAGTTATCGACGTTAATGGCGGAGTGCTGTTATATAAAGTGCAACGTATTGATATATAAAGTGCACTACATATGATTGTAATGAAATAATCGGTTTAATCGATACGTTACCCGATTTACCCTAAACCCCTGAGATGGTTTGTGATTTATTGTAAAATATATTTCGTATGTTAATTTCTTTTTTATTATAGTTGTTTTCGACTGAATATAACAATATATTTAAATAAAAATATATAGAAAATATATATTTTTTTTATAGTTCGGTTGTTGTGTTATTTCGTTTTTTAATTGTAAAGCCAAAACCAAAATAACCAAAATTTTAAAATTAAACACATATTTGAACTTTATTATACAAATTTGAACGGAATAAGTTAGTTACTTATGTTTCGATTGCTATATGGTGCAGTCCGACAGTCATTGGTGTGCAATGTGATAGTCATTAATGTGCACGTCGTAGTACACTCACGTCGCATATATATTTAATGTGAATATACACATTACGTTGTAAATTTACTTATAATTAATAAATATTTATTAAATGTTCTATAAATTACACATGTGACACATGTACCAAAATCTATACTTATATTAAAAGGTATACCATTTACCAGATTTAGTATAAAGAAAAGTCAACAACATTTATTGCATTACTATTTCCGTAGTATACAATCTATACTTATATAAAAGGAGATTCTATTTCTTATATTTACTATCCAGAAAAGTCAACTGCATTAAATGTCATTACTATTTTGGTATTATAATATTTTATTTATTTAATTAATTTATTTATTTGTTTTATTTTCAAAAGGTAAGTATAACAAAAAGATTTTAATAATAAAAAAATCAAATACCAAATAAAAATGGGGTAAAATATACAAGACCCCCTTGTATTATACGAAATCTACGCGTTTTCCTTCTGTATTTTAAAAATTGCGTCAGACCTCCTTCTATTAAGGTTTTGTATGCGCGAAACACCCAAAATTTAAACGATTTTGGGTGTTTCGTGCATACAAAAACTTTAATAGAAGGGGGTCTGACGCAATTTTTAAAATACAGGGGGAATACGCGCAAATTTCGTATAATACAGGGGGGTTTGGTGCATTAAACCCAATAAAAATGTACACTTTGACTTATTTGATTATATTTGGTATTTGATTATACCAAATATATTCCTATTTAGTATATATACATTAAATACTTACTAAAGTATTTATTTGTTTTATTTGTCAAAGTTAAGTATAGATTTGTTTATATTATCAAATCATAAAAAAAAATATAAAATCCATATTGTAAAAAAAAAAATCATATAATTTTATAACAATTCTACTACACTATTTAACAATATTTCTTTTTTATTATATAATAAAATAATAATTAAATATTTTATGGTGAACAACAATAAGTAAAACTATTACTTTCTCTTATATCAAGGGACAAATTTATATGCTAAAATTAAATTTTTATTAGTATAAATGTTTTAGTGAGATATTTAGACTAGTGAATTGCTGAGTAGTCCGCTCAGCGAAACCCTCCCCCAATATCTCAGAGTCGTCTTCCTCAAATTTCCGGCGAATTCGCGTTCCTCGGTGTCGGATTGTCTCGGCTAGGGGTCGTCGATGACCGTCCCAACCCCCCTGGACGTCGAACGCTCCTGATTCTCGATGGATGGACTGCGATTGGGGCTTTAGCTCTCGGTTGCGGACAGGGCTTCAGGTGGCGGCGCTGTTCCCGGTCAGTGCTTGGTGGTGGATCTCCTCTGTTGCCGGCGATTCTCTGATTGGTGATGGTAAGTCCACTATCTCCCTTGTCTGTGATTGCCGGGATGTTTTTTCCGGCGGAGCTCCGTCTTTTCAGGCGGGTTGGAGCCTCTGGTCGGGGTTTCTGTGGAGATGTCAGGTGGTGCGCTGGTCTATGGGTGGTTGGGACTCCGGTGGCTGCGGCGTATTGGTTGCGGTGGTCGGGGAGAGGGCCGTTTCTCTCGCACTGTCCCCCGTTTGACTAGTGGTGTTAGGCGGCGGGGGAGGTTCTCTCGGGCTCATCTAGTGGTGTTAGAAGAGTTCGGGTCGAATCGGTGTGGGGTGGACTTGGCTCTCTCGGTTATTGATGGGTCGATTCGGGGACCGGTTCGGGGTTAGGATTCTTCTACTGTATAGGCTTGATTGCAGTTTCGGTAGCAGTCTCTTGTCCTGGATAGTCTTGAGTCAGATCGTTCGCTACTGGTCTGGGCTAGCTCGTTCGCTGGGGAAGGGCTTTTA